ATACTAATAGATTAAAGGTTTAAGATTATTGAAAGTAAAATGAAAGTGATTATAGTAAATCCAAATAAATGATTATAAAGTTAGTAGAAGTTAATTTGTTAAAAATAAGTTTGTTAAGAAAGAAAGTTTGATTGATTATTATTATAAAAGATTTTGTAGTGAAAAAGATAAATTAAGATAAAAGAAAAAAGATTTATTAAGTTAATAAAAGAGTTTTTTAAAAAAAAAGTTAGATAAAATCAAGTGTAGTAATATTATTGTTTTGGTTAAAAGAAGTAATTTGTATAAATAATATCAATTAATGGCTTTATATAAGTTTGTTTGTTTGTAGATATATATTATTTTATAGAAAAAATATAAGTTGTCTGTTGTTGTGATTTATTCAAAAAACAGAATTCTGTTATTTTTCAAACTTTGAATAGTTAAATTGGATAATATTAAAAGAAGTATTTCATAAATTATATTGTAATCAGTAAAGATTTCTAATGAGAATAAAAAATTTAAAAATGAGATATTGTGTTTTGCAAATTGACAAAAATAAAAGTTAGTGTAAAATTTTATGTTTTGTAATAGTTTTCATTTTGTTTATAATTAATATTAGATTATTTTTACTAATACAATGTTTTAGATTATAAAACTATTTCAAAAAGTTGAAATATATAAAATATATATAGAAGTTAAATTACTTGTAGTTAACAGAGTTTTAAAGCATTATATGCTGAACTTAAATCATTTGTAAGAGAAATTATTAGTTTAATTTATCATCTATATCTATAAAATATACATAGCAGAAAAATTGTTTTTAATAAAATTAATAATTTTAAATTTATTTTAATATTAATTTTTATTAAAAAAGAATATTAATTAAAATTTTAAAATTAAATTACTATCTTTTTTATTATAATCTCTAATTTATTTGGAGCAATAAATAATTTAAAAGATAGAGCACTAACAGAACAACTTATATATAAAAGTATTATTAAAATATTAAAAAACTCAAATGAAGCTAATATGTCTATATAACATAGTTCACTTACTTATAATACTTTCTCTTATATTCAAAACATTAAATTAATAACAATATATAAAATATATAGATTTTTATTATATATATGATATTTTTACAATACAGTTTTATTATTCTTTAATTTTTATAATTATTTATTATTTTTTCTAAATAATTAACTATATTTTTATTATTTTAGTCACTAATATAACTTCATAATATTGATAAAAAATCTAAAAACATAATTATTATCTGAATTACTTGCTCTATCTTAAGTAATTCTAATAATTTTTAATTATTAGTAACAGAAAAATGAAGATTATCTTTATGTAAATATAGTATCAAAATAAAAAATACCTATTATTAAATAGACCTAAGAATTTATTATGTATTTTTTTCTTAATATATCAAAAACCTATTGATTCTATAGAATTAATTATATAATTGTGTATAAATTTAAGATTTATTTCTAATAAATAACTTAATTCAAAACATCATTTCTCAAACCAAAGATAGATACTTGTATTATAAAAGATATTTCATACATTAGATAATTATGATCATTTTGTTTTATGATTGTTCTGTTTTTTTTTCTTTGTTCCTGTATATCCAATTATGAATTTTTTTAAAAAAGAACTTGCTTTCCTTTAATTATATAACCTCTAGTTTAAGATATTATTGTTTAAAACATAATTCAAAATTTTGAAACCATTTGTATACCTTCTTTTTATTATTGCATTCATAAATAAATCAAGTTTGAATTGTGATATTTCAAAGTTTTTAGATATCTGGTAAGATAACAATTCTTTAAAACATTTGATTAAATATAAATATTGTTATAGGAATATTGTTTTTAACATTTCAGATAAGAAATTCTAATTATTATTTTTTTTTGAAATATTATCAAAAAAATCTATTTCTTATATTAAAAAAAATTGCTTAATCTATAAAAAAAAATAAATAATATTCATTTATTCATTAACATTAAAATTATCAAAGTTATTAAATTAATTAAAAGTATTTAATACTTGTATATAATGATATTATTAAAAAACCCCTTCATTTATTAAAAAAGACATCCATCAAAAAATTTCTTATTTATTAAATAATTCCATATACCATCAGTTCTTTATGCTTAAAATATTGTTATTAACTGCACTCAAAGTTTACCAATAACATTTTTAAAATTTCGTTATCATTAACGTTAAGCAGAAAAGAGTATAAGAAATCCAATAAAGGTAATATTATCGATTAGTATGGAAAATTTTAATTATACTACATATAGTAAATAAAAAAGTTAATTATAGTAATAAGTAAAGTATACGGCATTAACTATGTAATAAGTTTATTACGTATTCGTTATTGTTTGATCATTGTGGCTTAGGCCAACTGCGCCATAAACCTAACACACATTCAAGGGATGCTGATAACATATAGTATGACGTAGACATCGGCCAACAATACAGTACTGTACATAGCTATTAAAGTTACAAGTCATTCTTGCACCTGGTAAGTTACATAGTTTTATAATGCCTTATGATTCGAAAGTTAATTAAAGAACTTGAAATCATCTGAACAATCGGAATGCCTTTTCATAAATTGTGGGACAACTGATAAAATTGATCGGCCGAGTTTAATAAGTTTTGATTAATATTATTTAATGTTACCTAATTTTTTGAACATTAAGTATTAATAAGTCATTCTACGATAATTCTATTTTTAGTGACAAAAATTTACATGTTTATTTAATCTCAGCTTTAATTAATATCATTTATTACCGTTATCATGTGATAGTAATAAGTAAGAATTTGCTTAAAATTAGTAATATTACTTAATATTAGTTAAACGATAAAAAATAAGTATTGATTACTAAATAAGATACTTTGCCCATCCCTAGTGTTATCGGATCGCTATAATTCTGACAATCCAATTTCACACTGAATACAAGAACTTATTGAATTCGGCCGATCAAATCTTTATCAGTTGTCCCAAAATTTATGAGAACAGCTATAATTTAGATCAATAAAAAAAAAAAAATCCGGCCGCCCCATCGAAATTTCGAATGCTATATAATACAAATTGAAAAATAACTTTTGTGTAGCCTTATATTAGTTTGGCTCAAGCAAAGGGATGCATTATAATATGATAATAGATTTTATTATAACGTACATGTCTGTTATAAAGAAGGTAGAGTGTATTCTTAATTGATATCAAATACATTGAATACTCAGTTTATATTCTAACTCAGATATCATGAACCTGTTATTTTCACTTAGCAAATTTAGTAGCTAAAGTATACTTCGTAATATTTCGGAAATAAAAACCAGTTGGATGATTGTCTATCCCCCGAATCACGGCGTGGATTTTTGGGAATCCGCGATTTGTAATCACTATATAATATTAACAATATTAAATTTTTAAAAAAGGCCGGTAAATATAAGCGCAGAACAACGATCGTAATAACATTAACTCCTCAAATTGCAGCATCAGGATTCTAATATTCCCGGCTATTGACGCTCGCTCATTCTTTATGGAAAATATCATATGCTTAGCTTTAGTGCTCTTTGCTACTATTTTAGCTGTTGGATTGGATAACAATGATTTGATGAATAATAAAAAGATTAGAGAAATTTATCGGAAGCATATTATTTAAGGGCATTGCATGTAAAATATAAATGTACATATTATGGTTTAATATAACCTTAATTTTTAATAATTATAATAATATATAGTTTTAAGTGCTAATTTTTTTAGAAAATATTATTATTTTATTTCAAATTGCTTAATTTAAATTATAATTTTATTTCAAATGGCTTAATTTAAATTATAATATGTTTTGTAACTTTAAAATTCTTTAACTAAATTTATTTAATACTTTCACTATCTAACTTTCTTTTAATCAAGTAACAAATTATAGTTGTTTATTTCCCGGTTTTTATTTATACTTCTATACTATTGTTTCACGCTTATTGATCAGATCTCAAGTTTGGGTGATCTGTATCAGCCTGATGAAGAAAAATCTGAAGCTACCTTGGAGCAATAATAAAAAATGTCAGGGATTTACTATAAGACCCTTATCTAAACCTACAATAACCTTTACCTTAACTTTAATTAAAAAATCAAAAACATATGAAAGCACACGTCTTTGGACGTACCCTTTGTTAGGCCGTGTAGATCAGCCGACATGATATCTCTTTTTTACTCTTTTTAACGTTCACAAAATTTATTAAACTATTAATGTTAAAGTTACTAACGAAAAGTAAAAATCATCGGCTAAAAAAAAGAAGAAAGCAGAAGAAAATGAAACAAGTTTTGTGATTTTAGTAAAGTTAAACTTATGAAATGCTAACTTTAATTTGAAAAAATAGTATAGAAGTATAATAAGAAACTGGGAATAAAACAGTTATTGCACACTTACGTGAACAATAACATATACACATTTAAATATTTGAATATAAGCTTTTAATAGATTTTTCTTTATATATTGTCTGTTTAACAAACTACTTAGATATTTATTTCAGTTGTAATAAGCTTTAATCAGTATTTGTATAAAAAAACTAACATATAGAGTTACAAATTATTTCTGGTTTTAGCATAATAAAATTGTTAGTTATCTTATGTTTATTATAGATTATTAGTATATTTGTTCAATAATCGGTTTAAATTCAATTTTTAATTCTTTTTTATTATAGCAGCTTAAGATAAAAAACAAAGAACCATCTGTAATATAATTCTGTTAACAAAAAATATTATATATATTTAATAATTGGTGGTTATTAAAAAAAAGAAATACAGCATATTAGTATAGTAAAATTAATCTAAATTAATCTGTTATTTAATAATCATAATAATAATTATAATAATAATAAGGCTATCAAAATTAATTAATTGGTTTTCATAATTCGGCCGGGTCAAATTTTGAAAAAATTTTTTATAAGTTGAAGAGATGCTTAGCTTTTTAGTACAACAAAATACTATTAATAAAAATTATCCATTATCCTGAAGTAGGATTAAAGATTGAAGGGACGAAATAATCATGGGCACAACAATATATAGCTCCATATTCATCACCATCTTCACAAAACCAATACACTGACACCCAAACGTAAGCGTTTGACCCCTGATTGGGTGTTTGGTCTGGATCATAACTCCAGGTTGATGTATATGGATTTACTTCACCAATACCGTCACTGTTACAATGATGGTCATTAACAAATATAGGATGTTTTAAAAATTCATATCTGTGACCTATGTCATCACCAAAAGAAAAGTGACCAATTGCATGCACATAATAGTCTTCACTATAAGGGGCTACGTTACCAATGGTAATATTGAGTTTCGCTTCCGGTAACCATTTCACTGTAACGGCAAAATTATCTTTACAGTCATTTTCACTTAAATTGTTAGTAGGATGACATTCGTGAGTATTTTTAACATATATAAAGATAAATACAAGCAAGCCAAATAAAATGATAAAGTGTTTCTGATTCATGATGAAATTATGATTTTAAAATTTGTTATGACCGTTATTATACAATTACCGTAGTATATTTATATCTTTTTTACTTAAGAAAATCTTTCCCGTAGAAAGTTTGTATAAAAGCCATATGAAATTTTCATTAAAAATTTTCGGTGTTGCTTACTTCACCTACAATCATTTCACTGAAAGTTCACTTGACTGATATCACATAAAGTTAGAGTCAGTATTTTATTAGCTGCAGATATATATTGTCATATGGCGTAATTTCAGCTAAATAAGATGGCAGTGAAATGATTTAACCATCATTTCTATAAAAAAAAAGAAACTTTCATGAGCTATCCACGAAAAGCGTAAACGTTTATGGGTCATTTATTCTGTGAATATAAGCATCTTACCATCTGGCATACTCCCTCCGAGCGTATTCTCTTTATTGCCATTTTCAATAGTTGTAGAACATGTAGATCAGAATTTTCCTGATTCCCAGTGATTTCTAGATCCGAATTTTTAATTTTTACTAATCGGAATTTCCAAATTCATCAGTTTCGCCTGATCAGTAGATCTAAAAAAAGCTTATTAATCTAAGAAGTAATTAATTATCTATTAGATTACTATTAATGTTGCATCTGAAGTAGCCATCCATCTAATGTAGCTACTTTATATCTCTAAGGTGGCGCCTGACTAAAATTATGATTTAATTCATGTATGAAGATCTAATTTCAGAGACTTAATTTTGGTCAGGTACTAGATCTATAGAAATAGAATAACGATATGCGTTTCAAAGTGCATTACACTTTCCTGGTTTCGGTGCGCAGCTAACTGATGTATAAAAAATTCGGATGACCGAGATATATACATTCTAATACATAAAGTTTCGATCATTGTAAATACCAAATTAGATGTCGGTGTATTAGATTTAAATAGCACAGTTAAATATAAATTATCGCTATCCGAGATGTATGGGAGCAAAATCTTACATTTGATTGATCCTCGTGATCATATATGTCACATATTGTAACTTTTTTTGAATTTACCCGTTACTGGTTTCAGCATACTATGCCACGCAGCTACCTAGTTTTTCTGATTTGATGTTTGACACAAAAATCCAAAGGCTTCGGATTATCATGTGTTGACTGTATTTCTAGAAGCATTGCACATAAAACTCTCTGTGCACTAATAAGTTTTACTTGAGTAATTTTACTATATACCTTCCTAACCTCTAACTTTGAACCTTAACATAAATAATTTTTGCTGCGTGTTATCTCGGACTGATCCGGGATTACCAAATTTCACGATTTTGATTGGTTAAAGGTAGCAGGTGACTATCGGGTAATCTCGTGATGTCTTGGCCTACGAAGCCTTATGTAATTTTTCTTTTACATTATCTTGATTTTTTTATTATGTAAATCGACTTTAAATTTATAATTGAAAAATGTTAACCATGCCAATATATATATATGGATTGTTTCTATTGATAACACCCCATATAATCATATGACTTTTGGTCATAGTCATATGGTCATATTGAATATTTATGAAAAAAAAATTTACTATGGTTCTTACTATATTAAAAAAGATCATAAATCATATCATTCTTTGTTATGACCAAATGACCTATAACAGATTATAAAGGTCATAGGTTAACACTGATGTACTAATCCGTCATTCATTTTAAATTTAAAATTAGGTGTATTAATGATATACTTTCAAAAACCTGTATTTCAATTGACAAAAATCGGCCCAATAGAATGATTTATCTTTATGTTAGAGAAAAGACATTCCTAGAATGGACTAGGGATTTGCATTTTTATCGTAGATCTAATTAAATGTAACCTTAACGTTAAAAAAATTTATTTGTACATGTGTCAACGTTAATTTGTAAACCTTCAGGTCTAATGCTAACCTGCAACTTCCAATTAAAAGAAGATCATATATACGTAACTCGTTGATCAAACAATCGAATACGATCTAAATTATGAGACATCAGAAACGGTTGTTGCTCACTTTCCCGAAGTGTCATTCACCGAATATCAAATTAATCGACAAAAACTTGTCAGTGAAATGATCTGTCAGTTAAATAGTTTTCAGTGAAATAAATTTGTCGGTTAATTGATTTTCGGTGAAATAAACTTATCGGTTAATTGATTTTCGCTGAAATGACAAACCTATTTCTGTCTTACTAGTGAAATGGATTTTGGTATTTCAGAAAAATGATCGTCCATATTGTGATCCACTGAGAATTAGAAATATAAAATAAATTCAAATCTGTGATTGGTTATAAACAATGTCACACCAAAGTTGCATTAATCACAATCTTATATTCATTACAATAGCGCTTACTTAATAAGTATTTAAATTTAGTGCTTTTAAAATACTCAATTATAATTGTTGATTCCCAGATCGACATTTTCTTAGACCAGTTCTATATGTGGGTTTTAGTAGGTGTAATGGATCCAAACCGAGACCCTAAAAATCAGCATCAGCATCAGCCGTGACAATAAATCTAAAATTTACCGTAAATAAGCACAACACCTCTACCTCATTTTTTTAAATATCAGATTAACGGACATCGCAATGAGATCGTTAGCCAAGTTATTTCCGCCAATTTGGCATCTAAAAAAATGAGGTAGAGGGTGTGGTGCTTATTTGCGGTAACCTAATTAAAGGATTCTTCGAAATGATTAACAGCCGTTTTCAAAATTTTGTGAGAGCAAATCATTATGATGCCACAGATTTTCAGAGTTTTCAAGACCCACACTAAGCAGAATTCCACATTCCTCGATTCCCCACATGGGTATATGGAAATTCATTCCACATCTTTTTAAAAACAGGTGTAATTACTATTCGATTTAATTTTTTCGTATTTATTATTATATATATTATTTTTTTTGTGCTTATTTTTTTTATATTTTTATTTCTGTATTTTTTATTTTTTTTGTCCTTTTTTTTTTGACATTAATTTATTATATTTAAATACATAATTTACTTGTCAGTCAAATATTTCTTTTTATATACAGTGTATCTTGTCTTGTGGTCATTGTTAATGTGGAAGTACCTGAATGATATATCAGTCTTCTGACAGGGAATTTCTAAGTGGAATTGACCCAAGACCCCGTATACAACAAACCTATTATACGACATTAACTTAAAAGAGAGATAATGAAAAGTAGAATAAAAAAGATTAGATATGTTTTTATCTCATAATGTATAAAGTCTTAATAAGATTACATAGTGTAACCGTTGATCGGAAGAGTGGACATAACTGTATAGACAATAGGCCAATTCGGCTCTAACGGTATACGATAAAAGGAATGATTTTAGTCAACTAATCTGAGTAGGATTTATTTCTAAAATATACTAGAATCTGAGTCTTGACAAGCTTAATCGAAGTTACAAGTCAATTTAGTCCGTCGAATTGAATCTCGAAAAGGTTATTAAAGCTACAAGACGAATTCAAAAGATAAAGCCTCAAGGAAATTCAGATAAGTAGATACGTTTTATTTTTCATTGGTAATCAAAAGTGAACAAGAACTGTCCTTTCGTTTATTGAACTCGAGGTTCTTAACGTGAAAATTTGAGTGTATACACCGGAAATCCTAAGGCACAGTCCTTGTGTAATCACGTATATGCGAATTTCTCGATGCTTACGTGATGCATTTGATTCTCATGCCATTAAGCCACCTTTAACTTCCATAATAGAATAAACGATTAAAATATTACTAAAGGAATACTTAACGTACTTACCGTTTAAATAGTCATATATTGTTAGTATGCAAATCAATAATTATTGTGTTGAAAGTAACTTTTTTAAAACTTCCTGATGTCAATTAAATTAAAGCCGGACGCTCATATGATTTGACTTTTTTTTTTTGTTAATTCATTATTGTCATTTATGGTTAGAACTAAGCAAATATTATAAGTAAAAATCATATACTAGTGCTCAACACAACGTTTCAAAATTGCGAAAAAAAAAAATTCCTTGTAAATCTTGGTGTATAATTTGCTTACCAAAACTTAAACTCTTAACCCGAATTTTAACTCGACCATAATTTTTTACCTATTACATTGGTGTTGAACACCACGATATTATTTATGCAATTTCATCTCAAAAATTAGGCTGGTATTCTGAGTAAAAATGTTTAGAATAGTAACAACCTTTGTTAACTAAATTTGAACCATTTATAACTGCACCCTAACCTAAATTGGAATACCTTTGGTGAAATTCCGGTCGAATACGAGAACACTACAGGTGAAATTCCGGTTGCACGGTTGTAAACATTAAAATATAATAATTCTTAAATACGAAAAGTTGGAATGCCCTCCCCATTAGCGTTAGAGTTAGCCAAATAAAAATTGATAAAAAAATTGTACGCATATGACCTGTGGCGATCATGCCAGCAGGTTTAAAAATAAAAACTTTATTTCGTAGTATAAAAATTTATATCATAGTAGCGTACCCACAATAATTTTTTTTGTCAATAGAATAACTTAGTGCTTATCAGTAGAATTCGGTTTTTTGTAAAAAAAAAGTGGATTCACTCCAATCGTTTACGTTCACCTGATCTTGGACAATTTGTATTTTTACATAATAACGATAATCAAACATAATTGATAATCAACACATCAACATAATTTTCATTCTTTTACTTTTTCAAAATGATAGCACTGCCGAACGAATGCCTTTTTGAAATTTTTAATAATCTTAAAGATTATTATAGATTCCTATTTTCATGCCTTCTTGTAAACCGTCAATGGTGTAGAAATATTGTTCCAATTTTATGGAGTAAAGCACTTTCACATTTCATAGATGGAAGACTTATGAAAATATGTCTTTTATTCTTGAATTCCGAAGAAAAGGCACCATTAATTTCATTAAATATATCTCTTCCAAATAATTCAACTCCGTTATTCGACTACACATCTCATGTAACATTTATCTTTAGCTCTATATTAGAAAAAGGGATTAAAAATTGGCTTGGTTATGAGGAACCTATCATTTTTTATGACAATTACGAACATTCAGGGAAAGTTATTCAGGCACTTGAATATTCTTTGATTACAATGTTATTACGAACAAGTAAGAAATTGGAGTATTTATACATTTCTGATATTACTGTCGATAAAATAATCAGGCCAATAGTAGATGTTCTTCGTGAAAATTCTACTATTACTTCAGTAGATATTACCCATATTCGAATTAATTTTGAAGACGTGAAAGCATTGGCTGAGATTCTTGGTAAAAACACCTGCATGAAAACGTTGGCAATTGATAGATGTGATTTTGGTTCTGAAGAAGCAAAAATATTAGGAAGGGCTCTTTATAAAAATACGACACTGTCTTCCCTCAATCTTTTCAGAAATGGACTTGGTTATGACGGTGCAAAAGTATTTGTACAAGTTCTTAACAAAAACACCTCTCTAACTTCTTTAAATCTTGCTTTTAACCAATTGGGGCCTGAAGGAGCAAAATCGCTTGCTGAAGCACTTTACGAAAATAATTCGTTGACCTCCTTAAATATTGACATTAATAATCTTGGTTCTAGAGGAGGCGAGGCATTAGCAGAAGCTCTTGGCAGAAATACGACCCTGACCTCTTTAAGCATTTATTATAATCATATTAATTTTAAAGGAATAAAAGCAATAGCAGATGCTCTTTATAGAAATACCAGTTTAACTTTTCTGGATATTGGAGATAATGAAATTGGCGATGAAGGTGGCAGGGCGGTTGCTGATGCTCTTCGTAAAAACACTACTTTAACTTCCCTAAGTCTTCGTCAAGGTGGAATTGGTATAGAAGGAGGCAAAGCGTTGGCAGAAGCTCTTTATGAAAATACTACCCTAACCTCATTGAACCTTCACAATAATAGTCTTGGTTCTAAAGGAGCAGAAGCATTAGCAGAAGCCCTTTGTAAAAATAATAATTTAACTTCGTTGGATCTTAGTAGTAATTATATTACTTTTGATGGAATGAAAGCATTATCAGAAGCCCTATGCAAAAACTCCATTTTAACTTCACTAAATCTTTCCAATAATGATTTTTATTTGGATGGTATAAAAGCATTAACAGATGCTCTTTGCAAAAACACCACTTTAACTAGCGTAAATCTTTCCCATAACAAACTTGATTTTGAAGAAGGACAAGAATTAGCAAAAATTCTTCTCAGAAATACTACATTAACTTCTTTGGATCTTAGTTTTAATAGATTTAGTTATGATATTATTAGATTATTAGTAGAAACTCTCCGTATAAATCATACTTTAATCAATCTAAATATTTCTGATAACTATCTCAGCCAAGACGAATACTATACATTAGCAAAACATTGTTATAAATATAATCATTCCATTTTATTAAAATTTTTTGGCGATTTTTATTGAAATCCTTGAACGCCAATTTTCGAGATTTCATGTAGTTAGTATAAATAATATTCTAATAAAGATTGCTGAAATTAATTTTTGGTCATGCTTAATTAGTCCAAATAAATATTTTATTTTTAATCAATCGTCTCTCAAATTCTTTATGAGTGAAACCCAAAACTAATCCTGAAGAAATTATAGATGAAACATAGCATATTATCATTAGTATAGGTGATTCTTTTAACAAGATACCTTCCGGCGGTTATATAATTTTGAGTTTGGATTAGTGACAGACACACTGGTTTAAGAACTTTACTTTGAGAAATTCTTAATTCTTTTTATTTTATTCAGAAAGTATCTTGAACCGAAATAATTTATTTTCTTATTTCAATAAATTTTCATGGAATATTATGAATAGAATTATGCGCTATAAGGTTTTTAGAAAATCTAAATCAGATATTTCGTCGATTGTGATATAATTAATAAATTATAGAAATAATAATGATAATGATAATGATAATAATAATAATGATAATAATAATAATAATCATAATAATAATAATTGATTCATGTATTGAAATTAGTCTTATATAAATCGGTTAAGCAATTTAGTTAATAATTCATCATATATTATATTTACGAATAATGAATTTATGAGATAATGTGAGGTATAGTGCAAGACATCTAAATATGTCACAGGTGCTAAAAATCTTGCCAAGGTTCTTAGCACTTATAAAAGTAAATCTTTAAAATAATATAACTTAATAATAAATAAATTTTTCAAAAAAACTTTTTACAGACATATTCTTTTAAGCATAAATAATAAAGTTATAAAAAACTTTTTTTGAATATTAATAAATAATTTTTAGCTATTGTTTTTTTAAAAAAATAATTTTTTATGAGTTTAGATATCGCGCACAGTAAATCAAGATTGGTTTTTTTCTTTTTCTTTCGATTATTAACCATAATGTTGTAGCTAAAGCTGGAAATTAAACCCTACCAAAATTCACTTATACTCTCTTAATATCAAAACTAACCCTAAACCCAACATAAATGTATCAAAAATAAAAATTTTAAATTTCCAGCTTTAGTCGTTCTCGCCTTCAGATATTCAGACACAACAACTATTTAAGTTCAATTGCTCAATATAAATTAATCGATAATAAACAAAATTAATTAATACCTTGTTCATTAATTAATTTACTAGTGTGCTTAAAATCAAATGCTTTTGTGAATCGACTAGCTATATCTTAATGATTCGTTAGCAATCAAAAATTACTTTTTAATTTCACGATTTCTATTTGTCATCATGAATTTTAACCATTCATTTAATTTTGAAAAAAACATCAGTGGCACTTGACCGCTTTTATGGATCCGAATCCATACATTTATTTGCCAATTCAATGTAACAATCGGGAGTTTTGGAAGAAAATTTGGACGTAATCCATTGCAAAATTTTAATGCAAGCTTCACATCAACATCGTAATTATCAAAGGGTCGTTTTTCAGATGTTATGACATTTCAACCACAATAATGCCTAAACTATAAATATTGCTTATTTGAAGGTTGCTGTCGATTTAAAACTTCCAGTGCAATGTAATGTATAACCCCAAATCTTTCCTTCAGAAATAAGTCCATTTATCTTTTTAGATGATCCAAGATCTGAAACATAAGGCATATCGATGTCATCTACGGTAATTAAGATACTGTATTACTATTATGAAAATCATTATGAATATATTCTGCTTTGTGAATTTGAGCCAGATCCGCTGAAATAAAATACAAGATGTCGTAATTTGCTTTTATATTCAAGTACTCTAAAACTTCGCCAAATATTTAGAAAGACTCCCTCCATTAGCATATTGAAGCACCATCAAGTATTCGTTTTCTACTGGATTTTTTGTCAATCCATATATTTTAAACCCACTACCAATGTATCTGTATTATAAATGATTTTAAAATTACAATAAAGTGGTTTTTAATCATCTGTAGTTAATAAATGTCAAGGATCATGAAATCTAAAAACCCGTTGACTGATCACCCTAAATCTAGCCAATCAGATGCATTGAAGCCAAGCAAGAGTAAAAGGGCAGAATGGTTTAAAAAAGTGGAAGCAAAAGTGCTCAAAAGACCAGAAAAGTAGACGAGTAATATATGTAAAGTCAATATAATCGAATCGAATTTTTTTTTGTTCGGATAAAAGACCTTAATCTACATTAGTTTTGGCATGCGAACTTGGTTTTATTACAAATTATTTCGCATAAATAGTATATACATTTGTGAGTGACCAATAAGAACTAAAAACCACCATATCACATGATTTCACTGACCCAGCTAGTGAAATCACATATCTATCGTGTTTTTTACTTTAATTAGTATTTAAAGAAGATATCGAAAAAAATTATTTAACACAAAAAACAATTCAAAAGCTGGTATTTTATTCAATTAGATTGTTAAAAATATTCATAGTCCAGTGATATTCGGTCACTGGAAGCAATTATGCTTCTGGTTCCATCCAGTTAATTCCAGAAATCTTCCAGTTCCACTGGAACGTTCTAGTGAACACGAAACTAGCATATGCAATAATCCCCATTTTAAAATGTATTGTATGCACTTCTTGTAGTCAGCTGTGATTAAACACATTAGTGATGCAGGAGAATTATTTTCGATTCCACAACGATTGTTGGAATCGCTAATGTTGTTATTTCTATTATTGTAGAAATAAATCCCCTGCATCACTAATCACATTGAATACCAAATAATGATGCAGGAGAATTATTTCCACAATTCTAGAAATAGCGTTTTTTTTTAATTCCACAACGATTGTGGAATTGCTCATTATCAAATTTAGTAATTCCAAAATTTGCATTTTTGACGTCCAATAAATTATTACTTCTAAATGTAACTATTTAATCTTGTTAGTGATCAATTCCACAAAGTTGTGGAATTGTGACAAAGGTTACGGGCGTACATACATAAAAAATAAAATTTAAATTGCCTGGACAATGTTTGATAATATATTTGTTTCTTCTTACAATTACATTTCTTATTATTATAATAATCTGTCGTTAATTTCGATTTCAAATTTTCAGCAATGAACGCTTCTTTGTCGGGAGAATGGAAATCTTACGTAGGTGATGCAATTATTTTGTTACTTATTTTATTATGGAGCTTGAACTCATCATTACATTTCGTTTAGTTTGACACGCATGGAAAAGTATATTGTAAGTATGGTATTGTAATGTTTATTAACTATTTTATTTTATTTTATTTTGTAAATGTTTTATAAACCAAAATTTTTTTAAAAGACTATAATACAAGAACTGGTATATCTCAATGGGTAATTTTTTATTTTTGGATTTTCTTTTTTTATCAGATATATTGTGCTTGTATTTAATAACTTTATATTTATATTAGAATCCTCCTTACCCAATGCAGTTATCCACTCAGATTTCTAATCCAAATGCCAATGTTTTATACCAAAATTCTTGCTCAATGCCAATTTCTCAAAATCATAACCAAAATACTAATATATCACAACAGCAAGAGAATTCTTGCACAATGCCGATCCCTCAAAATTATATTCAAAATGATAATAAGTCACAACAGCAAAATTTCTATCAAAATTATAATCACAATACCAATATGTTACAACAGCAAACATTTTCTCAAAATCATAATCAAAATATTAATATATTACAACAGCAAGAGAATTCTTCTTACACAATGCCGATCCCTCAAAATTATATTCAAAATGATTATAAGTCACAACAACAAAATTTTTCTCAAAATTATAATCACAATGCTAATATGTTACAACTGCAAAATTTCTCTCAAAATCATAATCAAAATGCTAATATATCACAACAGCAAGAAAATTCTTCTTACACATTGCCGATCCCTCAAAATTATATTCAAAATGATTATAAGTCACAACAACAAAACTTTTCTCAAAATTATAATCACAATGCTAATACGTTACAACAGCAAAATTTCTCTCAAAATCATAATCAAAATGCTAATATATCACAACAGCAAGAAAATTCTTCTTACACAATGCCATTCTCTCAAAATTATAATCACAACGCTGATATGTCACAACAGCAAAACGTCTCTCAAAATAATTATCAAAATAATTATCAAAATGCTATTAAACAACAGCAAAACGTCCCTCAAAATTATTATCAAAATGCTATTAAACAGCAGCAAAACATCCCTCAAAATAATTATCAAAATGCTATTAAACAACAGCAAAATGTTCCCCAAAATCATTATCAAAATACTATTAAACAACAGCAAAACGTCTCTCAAAATCATGCTATTAAACAACAGCAAAACATCCCTCAAAATCATGCCATTAAGCAGCAGCAAGAATTTCTAATAATGCAACAACATCAAGAGTTATGCAAAATGATAAGCAACATGGGAAAATCTATTTCAGACTTATGCTAATAAGTCATCAATTTTATTTTTTTTCTTTTTAAATCGTGTTTATCACAAACATAGGGCAAGATCAAGTTTTTTTTATAGTAATTTTTCCGATTTTTCCGAAATCACTATTTCCTATTAAATTACTATAGAAAAGTGATATCATACTATTTTTTATTTCTCTTGAAGTATTTAATATTTTAAATTCTGTAAACTGTATATGTTTTATTGAACATGTGTTCAAAAAATAACTGTTAAATTTTACATACTAGTATAAAAGCATTATAATATTAATATTTTATATTTAGCTTAGAAATTGTTCTGGTAAGAATGTTTTTAAATTATTTAATTATTTATTATAGTTATGCAATAAAAATGTTTACGCAGTTACAGTCTTTAACTTACCTTATATTTAATATGAGTTTTTTCCCTTAAGCAGTCATAACAGTACTTTGTAGTTATATATGCAATTACAGAATATTATTTAAAATATAAGTCTGCTATTATTCAGTCACCCTAATAGTATCTAAATGCAACCTGTTATATTAATCCAAGCAGAACTAGAATTACAACTCATCTAACTCTTGCATTACAATAAGACATCACCAATATGAAGACATTTTCTTGTAACAAATTTTAAATTAATGAGAGGAACAAAAATAAAAAATAAAATCAAACTAACAAAAAGAAATAAAATTAATCTATTTGGGGAAGTCCGTTGTTAATTCCGAGTTGCGGCTAGTAGGGGATGATGGAAAAGTAAAAGAAGAAATTTGTTAATAGAATAAAGTTTTATTCTATGATTATTTGCTTACTAAATATTTTTATGTCTATTATTAGTTATTGTTATTCTTTAAAATAAAAATAGTATTCATTTGTAAGATAAAGTCTGAGTCAAATACTTTTTATATTAAAGAAACCTTTAAGTAATTGAAATACTGTGTCAAGTTTGGATCTTATATTTAAGTAATTTAATTTTTTATAGACTCTTATAACTGTTTTTTAAAAAATATTATATTTTAACAAATTTTTAATCTTTTTAATTTAAATTCTTTTTTGGTTTATTTTACATAATTGATTAATTTATATATTTGTTATATTTATTGTTTACTATTGTTGGGTTTAAATAACTGTAATTCAGTTTTTTCACAATCCAAAATCTTATGTAACATATAGTAGGTAACCTTTATAAAAGAGTGTTCTAGTTTTGACTAGTGGTTTTTAGTTACTTTTACAGATTTAATGAAAAAATATCAATATCATATTAACATTTTTTATTTTTTTATTTTTTATGTTATACTAGCCTTTTTTGAAACTAAAGTTTTTATTTAGTAGTTAGAATATAGGAACTTACAGCCAAGGCCTCAAAGAAGTCTCCTTACATTAGAGAGTACAACTAGCCATATGTATACTTTTGGTGTTTAATTTAAATAGTCTGCTGATGGTTTCTACACTAGTTGTCATATTTGCAATCTAACTAGATCATTGCTTATTTAAACTCTCTGTACTGCAATCCTTATTGTATTACTAAATCTTCTCTAGTATATATTTTAATCAAGAAGGTCTAGATGTTTTACCTATATTCTTAGAACCTTATACTTTGTTTTATACAGTGCATTTTCAGAAGCATTGTTACTAAAGCTTTCTATGTTTTACATACAGCTGATCTAATATTATATAATATACTATAGTTATCTAATACTTGCAGTTACAGAGATTACCTGTTTAACTACTATATTATACTATTTTTACTTTTGTAAAGTTTATTCAAATCCTGATATTATCTTTCTAACTTATTATATTTATTCTTCTACTATCCAACTTAAAATCTAACAAATTCTCCAAATTTTTAATCCAGATAGCCTGATATAGTATACCTTTGGTATCCTTTTTCTTTGGTAATTTTGGTAGCCTGGTTGATTATATGCTTTTCTACATATCTTGTCATCTAATTGCATATTTACCTATTTTTATTGGATTTTTTTGAACTTTTATCAGTTTAACAATATTTTCAAAAGTTTATACTACCTTTTTACTTAGAAATTTCTAAGTAGAATTTTGTCTTCTTAGTTTTTTGGTCTTTTGTATTTGATAATCTTATTGTAGCTTTGTACTAAAGTCTTATACAATATCAATTATTAATATTTCTATATATATATATAATATTACATTTCTTATAGATGTTCTGAGCTTTTAATAATAAGTAAAATCTGATTAGTTGTATCCAAATTATAGATATCTAAATCTAATTGATTGATAGATAACAGTTTTTTATAATATAGATTAATTTCCAAATTTCATCATAGGTAAAATTTAACCTTAGACTTGCTAATTGAAGAATAACAACTTAACCATTATAATAAGATCATTATTCTCTATTAGTATTTTTTTCAACTCAATATTAAACTAATATTAGTTAAAATTTGACTAGAATAGAGATTCTATAGGATAAAAATTAGTGTCATATTAGCTTTAAGCAATATTAGTAAGCTAATAGCTTTATAAATAAATTATTAATACTATTAATCAATCAATTAATAGCTATTGATCAATTGATTAACAGCATTATCAATTTATCTATAGAGCTATTAGCTTACTAATATTGCTTAAAGCTGATATAATATTGATTTTTATTCTATAAGTTTTCAATTCTAGTCAAATTTTAACTAATATTAGTCTAATATTGAGTCAAAAAAATACTAATATAGTACTAATATTTCTTTATTTAATTTGTGTTTATGTTAATGAATACAAGTAAAGTAAGTTATATAATAAAGAACTCAAATGAATAATAAAGTTTATGAATTTTATAAAGTTAGTATTAAGTACAATATTAGTATTTTATTATAGATAATATAAATTTATTAGAACTTGTAATTTAATAAAACAAACAAAGTATATTATTTTTAAGAACTATTTAGTCTTTATTTATATTATTAACTTATATTATTTATAAAGAAAACTTTACATTTATTATATCTTTAAAACTATTTAATACTATTTACAATTACTTTTCTAATTCTTTTAAAAATTTTTAATTTCTTTAAAGATATATAACTTATTTTTATATCTTCTTTTTTATTCTTCTGCATCCAATATATTATTCTCAATCACAAATGTAATATATTGCATTTTATATATTTTTTATATGATTAGTTACAATATTCTAGTATTATACTAAAAAAAAGAATATAAAGTATCAATATTTTGATAGAAATAAGTCAAATCTTTACTATTTATAAAAAAGAAAACTAAAAAAATATAAAGAATATATTGTATTATTATAAAGGTCTAAGTTAAATAGGTTTTTTTAATTATTTTTTTTTTAGTTCTAGTTATTTTGTTTAAATATAAACTTTTTATATATCAAATTTTATCTATTCTTGGAATTAATTTTAATAATTCAAAAATACTTATTTTTAAAGCAATATTTAATAGTATTTATAATTAATTTATATGCAATATTATACAATAATCAATTTTTATTAAAATGTTAAAAACAGATTTATAATTAAAATTTTAAAATAGCAATATTTTAATGATTTGATCTAGAATATTCTAAGATTTTTTTATACATTATACTATAAGTAGTATATAACTAAGTACTACAAGTTATATATTGTTGACATTAAGAGTTTTACAAATTATTGGTCATAACTTTTGATGTATCAAACCAAATTGGATGAAACAACTAATATTGAATTCAGCTTACTGAGATTATTCTAACAAGTACAAGATCATATAATTCTGATCACAGAATTATGAAATTAGGACAATTTTGATAAAAGCACTAATTCTAGTATATGTGACTTAATTCTGATTGGCTTACATTACTATATCAGAAATCTAGCATTTCTATCATTTATGTAGATTTATTATTTCTATTAGTTCTATAATTTCTACTAAATCTATTAGTTCTATCATATCTATTATTTCTATTATATTTACTATATTTATTATATTTATTATATCTATTATATTTATTAGTTCTTATATATCTTAACATTACTAGATATATTAGATCAATTCTGTAACTTTCTCTGTAGATCACTTGTACCAAATTTTTGCTAAAAATGTTTAATTATTTCTCAATATTATGTTAAGTAAATCTTACTTATACTTCTAAGTAAAGTTGCTTAGCTTAATTTTTCTTTCTAGGCAGCCAAGTTTTATGCTTCTGCAACACTTGGCCACTGAGAAAGTTCCAAAAACCAAAATATTGGTTTTTGCTTATTTTCAATATATTTTACTAATTAAATATACCTTGTTATCTATTAGAAAAAAAACAAGCTCTCTGTTCTAATCATTTTGATATATATTATACTGCAAACAAACCAAAACTTATTAAGATATTTGAAAAAAGACAAAACCAAAATCTGTCTTTGCAGGTTATTTCATTAATAAATTTAGAAAAATTCACTAGGTTGCTATGGAAATTTCACTTTTCTGACACCTATTAAAATTTTCTAAACATCCAATTAGCCTTAACACAGGTTCTACATCTTGCAGATCCTTTTTAACTTATTTACAAAGCCTTTAAATTAGAAAATTTTATCTGATAATTAGATTATTCGATCCAATTTAAAGATTATTTTATATTAGTACAAACATCACATTAGAATAGTTACACAAAATGCCTAACATCATTACTGTCAAACCAGACTCCTTTGATCTAGATACTTTTCAGAATAAATATAATGGTTGAACTCTAAGTTACTTTAGACAATAACTGTAAAAGTTTCAAAGTTCTCCTATTTAATTTTAATTCTACACTATATGACACTTACAATGACTACCATTTTTTCTTTAGCTCTACTCAACCTATTATTACTAAATGTTTCTGTGAAAAATACTACACATACTTCACTTTATAGCATTTATCTTTGCTATCTATTCCTGATTCTACCTATATAACTATAATTGAACCATCCAATTCAATAGAAATTGACCTTGATGCCAAACTCTACAAATTCTTTTACAATGTACCTAAGTCATCCTTTTAACCTAAACACAACATCATTTAT